GAAATATAATAATATATAATATGTACACAATAAAAAAAATAAAAATAAAAACTAAATTGGTCAACTATGATTAGCAGGTATAGTCGGAAAAAGAATTACCGTGGTTTACACACTTTATCAGAACAGAACTTCAAATTAACAAATGTATTCTAATATATCATAATCTACAGTTCTACTCAGTAATATTTTAACATTTAAGCTATAAAAACGATAATCTATGATACTGAACGCGTTGTTTAATTAATTTTGTCTTAATTTGGAAAAGAAAATATGTGTTATCAATCATAATAATACAATTTAGTTTCAATTAAAAATTTTAAATACAATTGTCCAAAAATAAATAATAATACAGGTGGAGTGCTAATTTATTGTACTACTCAAAAGTTACCAGGGAGAAGTAATACTATAATGGTTCTCACCTCAGTTGCGATCCCGAAAAAAAAGTCAAAAGTGAGTACCAGTAGAATGAATTTATAATGTGATATTTTTCGAGAATAAAAAAATAGTGTTTTTGGAATTTACATTTTACATATACCCCTTATTATAGAGCACCCCCCAAAAATTCATTTAGTATGCACTTAGTAATATTTTTTCATATTATCTCTTATAATTAATTATAATACAAATTAATGAACAATATTTAACTTAAATATATATTAAAGTATTTATAACTTATAGTTGTACCTGAGTGTTTAAAAAAGACAAGTTGTGTTAAGCCATATAACTTACAAGTAATATACTATAATATAATATTATATATAAGTTCAAAGTGGATACACGTAAACTACTGACCTAAATCGATGTTAATTGTTAATTATTACAAGGACAAATTGAGATGTACGAATATAAATTGTGCTGATATATGTACAATATTATATAACTATAATTGTTCTTTGCACATTTGAAGAAATGGAAGCTATTGTGGTTTTACTTTTTACAGACTTTGTATAGCTCTATGAAAACTTTTTAAAAATAATTTTAAATCTTAAATCTTTTAGTACAATAAAAATTATTTTGTAGATTTTAAAGATATTTTACAATTTGAATAACTTTGTGTAATATTAGATTCCGAGAGTAGTGATGAATGTATTGATTTTACAATGATGTGTGATTTTTTTTGTGTCTGTCATCACCATCGCCATCATAAATAAAATATATTATTATTATTATTTATTATTATTTATTATAATCAACGCCAGACGGCTTTTACAAAATTACAGTCCAGAAGTACATGGATAACAGTAAAATTAAAACATATTACAGTATATAAAGACGCGTAACTTATACTAACTTAATATTGGAGTGAAGAAAAGAATTAGTTTGTAAGTAAAAAAAAGAATGTGAGCCTTCGTACTACATATTGCTTAATAGTCTATATGATTATTTGATTATATAACAACGAACCAAAAAAGAAATGTCTTGATGCTTACTTACATTAAATATCATTCGAATTGTGTAGGTATTTAATGTAATTAATCAATGTTAAATGGTAATTTTTGTTATTGTCCAACGAATTTTACGGTTATATATTAATTAACAATCTCCCATACAACAAACTTCCATCTAACTAATTTTTTTTTTTAATGAAATATTTTTAGGAACCAAACTCAATTAGGAACTAATTTATTTAATTCTATTTAACGAAATTCTCAACAATATTAATGTTTATTTTTTCACCAATGTGATTTTGTTATACCGAAGCTGTCTTACTGTACCTATTACTTTATTTTATTCACATATATTATATATAGCTAACCTATATTCTTCGAAATTAATAAGTGTATTAATCAGAGATAACTGTTTGAACTATATTTTTGTTAAGTTACGTCATTATTTCTAGTGACCTATATGTAATATGTTTCTATTACTTACAGTATAGTATAAAATTAAAAAAATGATTTGTAGTTACAAATATTAATTAGCAAATAAATTGTTTTAATATTCACTTCTGCCGATAGTTTTCGATAGAAAATTTGATCAAGTTTAACTAGTTGGTAATTGAAGAGGGTAGTTAGTTAAAATAGAAAAACTCCATTATCAATAGTAGTAATTTAAAAAACTAACACCAAAAGGGGGAAGGTGGGAAACACCCCGCTGTATAACTAGTGTCGAATATATTTCGTCATTAAGTGAGTCAAAGCGAGACATGTAATTAGTTGCATAAAAATTGCACATTTTGATACCAGTTTGAAGTCTGTGAGACCGTGTATACTGTATAGGGGCCAATTTCACTATAATATTGTAATGTATAAGTAAAATTTGAAATCAATGATAAATCAATGCATACGAAAAACGGTTGTGAGTGGATATATATGGTCCAACAGCCTATATGTACTAATGATATTTTATAATATATTTATATTGTAATTTATTATTATAACTTATTTTTTTTATTAAGATTACCTACGGTAGTTTGAATTGATTTTTTTCCGAAAATATTGCATTTATTATGTTATTAATATTTAATTGTTATAATAGTATATATTTATATTACATAGTATTGTTATTATCTTTTGATTCAATTCCAACTTATCTTGGAAGGAAGAGCGGTATGAATAATAGGCAGTAGCATAACATTAATCTAAATCTATTTAAAATGTCATTGTGCATATTAAATAAAAAATTTATAAGGGTATCAAATTTTTTGACTACAACAAAAATAAGAAAATCGATTTCACCCGAAATTACACTAACTTTTTTTTTATTATTTCCGATTACATTTTTAAAAGTATTGAGCATTTTTAAGTTTGACCTCTCAAATGTAACAACTAGTGCTTACTAAATTCACTTTCTTACCATATATGATATTGAAGTTGAAAATCAAAGCATTTTTTCTACTATAAATCGTGTATAGTAAACATTTTTGTATAAGTTAGGTGTCTGAATAATATAATTAAAAACTATTTTTATACGAAAGACTCATTGGATTTACCGTGGTTAATCATCAACAAAATTGTTTCAAACAAAATAAAATATTACATCATTCTATGATTTTATTATCTCGTTAAACATTTTATTACATCCGATATAATATTATAATAATCTATCGGTCGATTGTGTAATGTGTTTTCCCCGAACCCTCTACGATTGAGACTATTGAGAGACATTTTTGTTTTTCTTGCAAATTACTCATTATAGACTATAGTATATTGCTGTTTGTAGTTTCTACTTGAATATATAGTCAAATAAAAAATAATAGTAATCGAATTATTGCAAATGTCGGTCAAAAAACATACCATCGATCAAATAACATACCATCATAGAATGCCTTGAATGTGATGAAACAAAAAAAACACAACAGCCCTCTACAAATCGGACGAACACTGCAGCGTATATACCTCGGTCCAAGTTTTTTTTTTTGATGTTTTAAAGAATCGAATTAAATTGATTTATATGTTTCGTATATAACTTTAAATTTTCAACTTCAGCATCTTTTCCGGTGGGAAAGTGAATCTAGTTGGTGCATTCGGAGGATCAAAATTTAAAACGCCTTGTAGTTTTCAAAAACAACTGGAAAATCAAACAAAACATAAAGAAAAAAGTGGAATTTCTACCCACCATCGGTTTTCGAAAAAAATAATTTTGATTTTCAGTGTTACTCTAAAAAAAAGACAGTACATACATGAAACTTTCACTCAATTATGTCTATATTAGCATTTTATTTACACCGTACAATTTTCGAAATATTTAAAATCGTGTTGAGTTATTTATAGGCGTATGAAGTTTTCGATTATTGTTAGTTTTTTAAAAATGAATATCGATAAAAAAATGTTTGCTCGTCAAAAAACTTGAAAAAACTTGAAAATATAATACAATGTTTTTCATAAGTTGTTGTTAGTGGAAATTAAAAAAAAGTTGAGAACAAATCAATAATAATTTTTTATGAGCGTTTAAATATAAAATTTTGACAACATTTCGAACCTACTGTATTACACTAGTACTAATACTTAGTAGTAAAATAAAGTACTTTAACCACAATAATATCATAAAATATACTAAATTACTAAGTAAAATCATGGGCTGAATAATGATGTAGGTTATAGCTATACTATCTAAAAAATTTCAAAGTACTTGATTTTCTTAATGATTGAGAAAAACAGAATACAAATTAAGGATTAACTGGAAATTTACTGTATGACCCATTTTCGACAAAGTCTGTTTTGTGATTCTGTTGTAATTGAAACACAAAGAAATGATACTTGTAAAATTTCAAAAAAAACATTTTATTAGTTCTTTCTATGCATGGAATAATTTTCAAAAAGTTTTGACTCTTTTTGAGCTATTTATTACAGACATTTTTGATTTTCTTTTCTATAAAAATACAATAACATAATATAATATTAATTAGCAGGTAAATATAATAATATAATTTGATTGATTTGGCAAAAATGTGTTCAACTAAAAACTTATTATCGGTATAACTAATAACTTAGTTCATCCTTAGCAAAGGAGTCTGACTCCACTTCCTCTAAAAACCGCATGTTGTATACAATGATGTATTGATTTATAAATCATATATATTGAATTCAAATTGAACACATCTTTGACCATGATTTTTTACTGACGAGGTATGCACTAAACCTACTTTAGAATTATTGTCCCTATTTAAAAATAAATTTATATTTTAGTTAATAAACAAAAATTTGTTAAAAATACATTATAGTACTACATTTTCTTGTATCAACATTATATAATTTTTAAATTTCTAATCATATCTTTTTTTCACGAAGAAAAATGTTGTAATACCTAGAAAGTATGGTAACAAAATGTTGATTCTATAATTTATTCAATACGAATAAACAGAAGGCATTCTGACATATTTTTTCCGTATTTTTACTACAAATTAATCTGCAACTTTATCCACGAATAAGTCATGTACGAGTATGTGCTTGTTTGTAACTCTTTAATTTTTTTGCTTAATTATCATTAGAAATAAACCTTCCTGTAACCTGACTGACATAGTATATCTTCATATTGTAGTTTAAGACACAATAATACAATTATAAAACCGACCAGCTTTACTTATAACTATGTAATAACATACAATAAATAATTAAAAAATATATTAACTCAGATATTATCTTTTATTTAAATAAAAAAAACAGGAATAAAAATAGATTTTATAAAGAAAAATAATTTAATTAACAAAAATATAAAAAATTGTTGGTTGGATTAGTTGCATGGCATTTTAAAATGATCATGGTTTCTTTACTCCATCAATAGCCTTGTTCATGGTAGTCTGAAAATATTAAATCAATAATCAATATGAATAATTCATATATTTAAACTATAAAATTAATTCAATAACAAAACATAATTGATAAATTATAATAATACATAAAGTGTAAATATCTGAAGGATTAGACAACTCCTAATTGTAATTGTTATTTTAACTTTCAAATCATCCAGTCAATAAACATCCTGTATGAAATATGAATATTTAAAAGTGCACCAATGTAAACATTTATGTCAACAAATGTCAACTACTGTTTTAATTTTGAAAATTGTATATTGTAAGTTAACGATAAGTAAATCAATCAATTGTGAAAAACGAAACAAGTTATTGACTAAAATCAATATCTTCAAAATATCAGTAAATTGTTTCGTGTAATATATATGCCTATAAAACTGTGTTGTATTATGTATTTGCCGGATTATGATTGGGGTAATGAAATATATTTTATTTAATATTTAAACTTACTTCAAATTCTTTGGTAGTCTTGAGCAATGTTTCGGTGATTTTCTTTAAATCTACCTTTTCGTTAATTTGCTTGCCAACTTTTTCGTCGAAAATTACTTTGGCATCAGTAACTTGTTGTTTGAATGCCTTTTCTAATTCATCGTATTTTTCGACCAATTTGGGGTCAGCGTTTTTGCGAACGATATCCTTAAGTTTATTGGTTTCGGTTTCCACCTGTAAAATTAAATTCAATTCGAAAATAGAAATAAATTTGAAAAAACAAAACAACGAAATAAATGTATATTGTTTATTCTTACGTTTTCGAATCCTTTGGTTATTATAGATTTAACTTTGTCCACAGATTTTTGGGCATCGGCAGAGTTAGGGTACAATGCCACAACGTGATTGGTAATGGACAAGAAAGATTGTGCAACTTGATCAGCTACTTTTTTAAGGTCCTCGGAATCCACTAATGATGAAGGACCAGTTGCAGCTGACATGGCCTAAAATGTTATTTAAGCATTTAAATACATTTCATCAGTTAGCTTTTATGAATAAACTAAAACCCAATACTAAAAACGTAGGTATGTTGTCCATTGGAAATGGAGAATCGTAATGTTTAAATTTAAAATAACTATATGATTTTGTAATTATACACACCACACCCAGTAAAATATATACACAAGTAAGTTATAAATATACAATATGATCGTGGATAAATATTTTACGTGAAAAATTACAGTCGAAATGAAGGTGTCTTCCAATAAAATCACGAGTTAAACAAATAATTTGAAATTTTTATAAATAATATCCTTTCCCATTATCGTTATTAATTATTGTGCTTACAGAAATACGTGTAGCCAATAAATCGCGCATATTAAAATATCAAACAAAAATAATAAATTACACAAATAATTATAATGATAGAAGCTGTTTAGCAGTGTGCTTAAATAAATTCTCTAACCTGTCCAACAAAGACGACCGCCAAACACAAGACAATTTTTCCGTTCATGGTGATGGAGTTTTTCGATTACGACGATGATATTATTATAATAATAGTTATTCAGCAAACAAATTCGTGCACTGATCAATCAAAACTAATCGGGCAGCTTATATAGGCAATAATAGCCGAGTCCCCCAACTCGGCGCCCCGTTAGTTACTGATAATGTATATAATATTATGATCAAATATACGGTTATTGCCTGCGCTTGAACTTCGGTGCACCGTTCTAATTGTGAGTAACAATTTCTTACACGAGTTTTTTTTTACAAATCGGTTAAAAAATTATACGGACGATGTGGTAAATTTGCAGTAGCTGACGTTACATAATGTAACATTATTCTTCGAGTTATATTTTTTTCTCGGTTTTACTACTATAGATTTCAGTGTTGTTAGATCTGTTTAGAAATCGCTTACCTATAATATTATAATATTTCACCAGCGCGAAATGACTAATAAGACACAGTGCACTTTGTAACTATGTTAATTGGTTTTAGAGGTGAATACATGAATATGTGCATATACCGTGCTCATTGATCAACAAACTGTTTTCCGCATAAGGTCACTTTTTTTCGGCATTTATTATAGGATATGGAACTTGATCTGTAAACCTATTCAGTATTGCACCGTTGTTTGTTGTTATAGACCTGTTATTAGTCAATATAGTGTATTAGTGTCCATGATAACATTTTTAAATTATTGTCTTTATAGTGTTTACTCGGTAGGTATCTAGTACCAACATGGCATCCTAAAGCAAATAAAATAATTATTTTTTCAATTATTTTTTAAATATTTTATTTAAAAACATAATAATATATATTATAATTTCTCAATCCTTATTTTTTTACCATTCTCAATGTTATTTCCAAGTATTTTTTAATAAATCCAACATAGTTTTTATAATAGTTCCTAAGTAATGCAGGTCAATATATTATCCGAGTTAGCTTATTTTATGCTCGTCTCTCAGAACATCAATATTCATTTTATGACTTATTAGTTATTACATATTGAACGATGCAAACTCTATAGTATCACTTCAGAAGAATGAAATAATAATACATTAATATCTATTATAATTATCAACGGTTGCTACTCGAAGATTTTTGGATGAAACGGATGTATAATGATTTCAACGTACATTGTTTTAACGTTACTAGACTCAATTATAAATTATTATAAATATTATACAAAACACTTTTAACGCAAAGATTTTCTTTTTTTGAAAAAAGTTTAGAATTTATTTTATTTGTTTGTACAGCTTTTAAATACCAAATGTTGAACGAAATATTGGTGATTAATATTTGTTAATTTTCGAGTAGTACAATTTACATTTCTTAGTTTATTTTATTAACCACTATTCATGTTGTTTATAACAGTAATGATTTAAAAGTGTTAGTGTATAAATTTAAAAATAAGTTTTATAAAATATATTGAACAATTTATATTACAAAATTATAACAATAATTATTTTTGGAATTATATTTTGCTGTACCAAAATGTCTTCGACGAATACGAATAGAAATACATTTATATTAGTATAATACTACTATACTTATACATATCTATTATCGATATTACATAGGTTGAAAATCATGGAAAAACTGCGGAATTAACGCTTTCAAATTAATCCCAAGGTAATTTTTTGGAAATTGAGTTTTGCTTAGAACTGTTTAACATTTACTTGTACCTTAAAATTAACTGTACACACAATTTAAATTCATACTCTGCATTGAAATATATAATATAAAAGTAAGTTGTTCTTTTTTATCTGCCTCATTAATTTTATACATATAAGTTTTTCTTTTTTTTATGAGCCACAAAAAACATTCTATTATTTTATATATTGCACGTAGCATTGTAGCAATAGTATAACACTTTAGGTTATCTTATTAAAAATTTAAAAATCAATGGTATATTTGGCACATGTTGATCATTAATTAGAATTAATTACACTATAAAAATCATTATCTGTTTTCGAACGTCAATACTTTTTATATTAAAAATGTAAAGCCAAGACCATTCAATAAAATAAATCATATCCATAAATTCCATGTAGTATTTTTTTTTCTTCTCATTCATATCAGTGATTCTGAACCAATTTATAAACGTATAACTAACTGATAATACTTTATTCTTCAATTCTAATCAAATGCATAAAGGTCGATGAACGTGAAATTCTGAGAAATAAAAATGTATATATAACAGAAAACGCTTATACTTTACCGTTACCTATACAGAATCAAATAGTGAAATTTAGATAAATTACATTTTCGAAGTAGGTATCACAATAATATATATATATGTATTTTGTTCTATACAGAGCGATTTTGTAAACATGCTCATCCTATTTTTATTCTTAAATTAGGTATTCATTCAAATTTCGATTTTTGGAATTTTAAAATAATTTAAGACCATATTTTGAATACATGAGATTCTTTGTACCACTTACGGATGATCCTGACCCTAGGAACCACCCATTTTCCCTTTTTAATTATTCAGCAAATATTTTTTTTGAAATGTAGGCACTAAGGATAATACGAGTATATCTATGGAAATGGGTTGAGTAAATATGGGGGTTCGATGATTTTAAAATGTTAGTTATTACTATTTATCTATCATTATAAATAATTTGTAAGAATGATCCAAGTATAATAATAAATACTACATCTAATATGACATTAAGTTTATATTTGTTTAAAACCATTTTTAAGGATTATTATCCTTAGTATAAATATTTCATTGACTCAGAAATTACTCATTAGCATTTTGATATAGATACATCAACATTTTCAAGAAAATCATTAGCTTAATGATTTGCAGTAAAAAAGGGAGGGAGGAGTTTCTCATTTGAAAAATAGAATCTTAAGTATCTAGTACACAAATTATCAGAAATTTGAAAATATAGAGTTTAGATAAATTTAAGAATTATAAATATCATAATTTTAATATATGTACTGTTAAAGAAAAAATAAGGGTAAGCATGGTTCAAAAATCACCCTATATTTTATTGGAACAATGGAATATTCTCGTTATCAATTATTGTACAGCATTCAAATATAAATAGACAACACTTCATAGAGGCAAATATTTTGTTTAACCCTTTATATTATTTAATAAAGTTATTCATTAACTTTACTCAATGTATTTAGTGTAGTTTTATGGAATTATACTAAAATGTATGTACTACATATTATTTGTATAAAAAAACATTTTATATAAGAATTGCCTATATACATACATTGTTACTCCAAAATTAAACATCAACGTTTTATGTTTAAGTGCATAGGTACTTTAAGACAATTGTATTTGTTTTATACATTACATAGTATTATACTACTAGAAATATTTTTCTTGATTCGATTTATCGTGTTCTTATAATATATTATACAGTACCTATAGAATATAGACTGTAGATCAATCAAAAATATTTGATCAATAATTCGATATAAGTTTAAAGTATTCAATAGCTATCAATAGTATAATGGTTCTTTACCTATAATGTGTAATAAAGTATATATATCATTGATATTCCTGATATTTCATGAAATATGTGCGCTTTCGTACTTGGACCATAACTGATAACCATTATGTAAAGAATATAATATAATATTTTAAAAACAAACGATCAACAATTTGATTTATTTTAAGCGTAAGGTGGTATTATGTCACTAATAAAATACCAACTAATATCAAATTATGGTTAGTGAAAAGCAAATTACATGGACATTTTTAATTATTAAATCCTCCTAAATATGACATTTTGATGGACTTCCAGTCTTCATGTTTCACCACATTTTTACATTTTTAATACGATTATTACGTAGCTTATAATCATGTACAAACAAAACAGATATGAAATATATAACAATTTACGAAAACATTGGCTTTTTATGATGTAAAAAATAATAGTGTTTCAAACATCACGCTAATTAATAATTTAATTGAAAAATTAAAATTTTGAAAATGTATCATCTAAACTTCAGACATATAAGACAATAGTATAAACATAGGTACAACTATTATAAAGAAATAAACAAGAGGAATACAACGTGGTCCTGATAAAGACTTCTCTTGCTTATTGGTACATCTGGAGTTTATTATTTCGATAGGATTATATTTTAAGCAACAAAATTTGCGTTACAATCATTCAAAAAATTAACCTATATAAAGTTTTTGTATTTCTTATTTTTTATACAATCGTTAGTGATACATTCATAATGTACTCATAGTGAACTGGGGAAGTTTTTTTGAAATTAACACTCTCCGTCTCAAAAATTGGTATTAACGTTTTTGGAAATATATTTTTACATAATCATAATAAGAAATTATTGCATTTATCGCTGATTTTAAATTTACTTTACCTAAGTAAAGTACTTTTTGAAATGATATTTGTTGTGTTTGGTCATACATTTCATCTTCAGACCTTGATCATTTGGTATAGAGTCAACAATAATATTATGCTCATAATGTGTAACAATAAAAATATCGATGACCATTACGTTTATCGTTAAGTAATGAGTACCTATTACACTGTCCGATGTATAATAATAATTGTGAGTTCAAATTTCATGTTTGTCACTGTATAAACAAATAACAATGATGTAAGAATTGATCGTAAATATTATAAAGATGTGTTTACCTATAAAATAGACAATATTATATGCATACCTATAAATATATATGTATATATGTATATATGTATATACACCTACATTTTAATAAGAATTAATGTTCTTCTTATTACTCTACATAAATTATAGTATTTATTAGTTATTACAGTTGTTCCAACTACCGGATCAAAGCTCACAATAATATCGTATGCATCATAATATTATATACCTAAATATAATATTATGGCCTGTTGCATAAAGCACAAATAACTAATAGTTAATTAATTCGATAAATATATTGTCAGTTGCACTAACATAATTTTGATATTTAGCTACTGTTTTTTATTACGTGCAAGGCAAATAAGGTATTAAGTTTCGTAAAGAGAATCGCGAGGGAATTTAAATTGTCAAGGTCCTCAAAGGTATTATACTGTGCATTAGTCAGACCGATTAATTTTAAATCAAGCTCTTGATTATATTCAACATTTTTTTTTTCGATTTTTATCCTTCAAATGAAATGTTGAATGCCCTTCCCATTCAGGCTACATAGAAATATTCTGATTTTTTGATTCTCCCACTTTAAGAAATCGACAAATCGTAGAAAATATATTTTCTATCTTTTCTTTTTCTCTTCAAATTATTAAATAATAAAATTGAATGTAAAGAAATATTAGAAAAACTGAATTTTAGAGCAAACACTAATCTTACAAGAAATAAAGATTTATTTACTTTAAAAAATATACCCAAAAACTAATAACTAATGTTTTTCATCCCCGACAAATTCTTTGATCTCAAATGCCAATTCTGTAGAATTAAATTGTTTTTTTGCAAAATAAATTATATTAAATCAGCATTTAATGTATAATTGTTGAAAATGTATTATTAAAAAATATTTTTTCTTTTTCCCTCTCTATCATATACTGTTTTTAAATTGTATTAATATAAGTCATTACATTGTATTTTATTTGTATAAACATTATTTTATTTGTTCACTTAAAATTGTAATGAAATTACTTATTTTATTTAATATTTTAGTAAACTCTTCTTGTATTGTATTTATGTTATAAATAATCAATAAATGCAATGTTTCATCATAGAATTGTTATACTGCAATATTTTATATTACTATTGTAAATGGATTTACTCGGTAAATAAATAAAAAAAATAAAAAATAATTAATAATAAATATAGGTAGTAGTTGCCTTTTTATAAACAGCACCTAACAACATAAATTACAGGTTTATTCATACTTAAAGTATATAACTATTTTAGGAAGTAGTCTGTTTCTAAAACAAACTTGTGCCTATTCACTATGACTTAATAAAGGTCTTTAATACTAATAGGACGAATACTAAACACAAAACATATTCCTGCTATGGGTTGATCAATATTATAAAAATAAATAATACTATTAATTTGACACGTTTTAATGTTTTGCAGTTTACAAATTGGGTATTGTTTTTCTCACCAGCCATAATAAGTTAATTTTTCTAATACTAAATACATACAAATGTTACTCATATAAAGATGCTTGTATTATTATAGCTTGGATGCATTGTATCTGAGATTCATTGGTACAGGCACTAGGCAGAGTTCAAAGTGTTGAAACATAATTAATTTAACTGCTGCAGAACTACGTTGTGCTCACTATCTTAAATATATTTTAAAATTACTATGTTTTGGTTTATGTTCAATACATTTTTAATGATTTCCGCTGTTTCGCAGGTAAGTAATTGATAATAATAAGTTCTTACATAAGTTAAATATTAATAATTGGGAAAGGATTCTGTAATATTAAATAGTTCTTAAATATAAACAAGATTAAATTATTTAATGATCTTTAAAAACAAACAAGTATGAGGTAGTAGTTCGTTATGATTCATTTATGATTCATTTATGAATCTTATTTTTTCCCTCTAAGTTTGATAATAGGTCAACAAACTCTAATATTATGAGTTTAATATTATAACACTAAATTTTCTTGAATTTGCTTGAAACTTCCTGTAAAAAGACCTCCCATGTTTGAAAAAATTAAAATTGACTATTTTTTTACATTTCATAACAAATCAGTCAATACGCGAAATTAGAACATAAAAAATAGTTATAAATTATAATATATATTACATTTATAATACTAATTTGAATTGTTATTTAATACAAATATGTCGGTACCCACAGGGTATACAAACTAAAATATATTCTAAACGCTCGATAAATGTAAGATGTAACTAAGACTAATAATACAATTATTTAAATATATATTTTAAGATATTATATTCGGTATAAATGTATTTATGATTTATGGATACATATAATAAAAATTATGACTATTTATAAGTAAATTATGTAATGATATTTTTAGTTTAGTTCTAAATATTTAAAATCATTGTAATATTATATCTAATACAATAAGTAATAATTTAATTAAGTAAGCACTAAAATTAAATTAACATGAAGTTATATGAGTAGGATAGAAAAGGAAAATATGCAGGTACATGTATATATTATACATTAATATATTAGTATATACGAGATATATAATAGATTTAACAATATAATAATTTTTTTTAGCATGATAATTTGAAAAAATTAGTTTTTAATTTTTAAATATTAGACTCGTCACATATAATTATTTCTACGGATAAAAGATATCATACCTAAGTACCTTTAAATAGCTATAATAACAACTTATCAGAAACTTTGTACGGAAAGCTAAAAACAAATCCAATAGCCAAAATTTTGTTATCCAATTGGCAATAGGTTTATTATTCGTTTATAATCTTAAGTTATATAATTATATTCATTGTTAATTTAAATTTTTAAGGTACATGGATTAAAAAAAAATTCAACAAACATTTCAAATGGTTTTGACCAAACGAAAAACGATCCTAGTGTCTTGATCCTCAAGGATGTCCATGGTAATACGTACAAGTATATTTATCCAAATGATATGGACCAATTTTCTAAGATGAGTACTCTCGGTAATAAAAAGTCTTCTACGGTGATACATTTACCACCGGGAATATTGAAATCTGAAAACCCTTCTCGTGATACAAGTTCTAATCCTATAGATCAGCCGTACACAAGGATAAGTTCTACGACGTCTGAGAGACCACGGACCATCACTATCCCAAAAAATACAACCAACCAACATAAACGGAATTACACTGTCTTCCTTGATACTAATAAAGAATCTCCTATATTGTCAAAGGCCATAATAAGACAGATTGATAAAGACAATAGTACCATTTCGATAAATTCGACCGAATCGACTGATACCATTACTATAAATGATGGTAAAACTGAAAACAAAGACGACGAAAATGATCCGAATAACGAACCATCAATCCATAATATTAGTTTTATTGGAAGTTCAGATGATACACCAATATTATCTAAAATAAATAATGAAAAATATGAGAGATCAGACGAACAACAGAATTCGTACAAATCGTGTGACAACCGTAACGGCTTAATATTATTGGTTGAAAATGATATTAAATTGAAACTTTTTTTAAATTCAAACGGAATATTGGGTAAATCGTCTCTAGTGAACAGTAGAAAAAATGCAACGATAAAATCAAAGGACGAACTTTCCACCGAAGATGTCGTCATAGAGAATGATGATGAGTTTGAGTTTTCTACCTCAACAGGTGTTGGTGATTGATATAATATTTCATTAAAACTCCGATGATAAACTTGCATTAATTATTTTAAGAGTAGCAAAGAATTTCGGTTAAAATGTAGATTTACGTTCAAAAATTAACAAAAAAAAAGTATTATGTACCTATTGATAAAATATACTGCACTTATATGTGTAATGTAATATTAAGAATTTTTTGGATCTAAAAATTATAATATGGTGTAGTTGGTATATCATATTAATTATTTTTTTTTAAATCAATAAACAATAATAATATATTATGTATATGCTTATGTATTGCCTAATGAATTATCGCTTATTTGTAACGAATAACATATTTTTATATGTATTACGTATATTGTTTAAGATTATTCCTTACCAAATAAAATTTATTTAAATACACAAACTGCTAAGTGGATATTTTATTACGAGGACAGTTTTTGTTTTCTTATCATTATTTTTTACGCATGTACATCAATAGAACTATTATGAAACGTTATTTGAATAACTATAGAAAAAAGTAAGATAATCGTACTCACTGAGAATAATGCATCGTTTCAAATATAATCAAATATAATTATAAGTGAAAAAAAGATCACATATCTCGTGAGAAAAAAAATAATTTATTTACTTATAAAATTAAATTTAAATTTAAAATTATATTATATGTTACAATAGTAAAAAACAGGAAATCCGGAATGTTCCGAAGTTTTTGAGTGTCCCTCGTCAGTTGTTATTGAATAGGTCCTTACAATAATGGGTGTGTGTTAACTAAAAACGAAAATTACAATTCTTAGCAACCTTACCTTACCTACAATATCTAATAGGTACTATATCTATAAAATATAAAATATAAATATCTCTAAAAAGCCAATGTACTTATAGCCTTTGCATATTCCATTTACAATAATAATATAACAATGCAGGTGAAATGTCTGCTGTATTCAATAACTAAATTATACATATCTGCTACCACGTTTAATCTTAAATGCAGTATAATAGTAATATTAGACGTTAGTGTAGATGTAATGTAAATATGTAAAGGATTTTTGTGATTAAGTTATTATGCCTATAATATTATATACCTACCTGTCTGTAGAAAAATAAATTATATTATTTCCTATATAATATAATGTATTATTTCTATTGCAGTGTTTATGAGACACGAAAAAAGTATCTACACAAAACAAGGAAATCTCTGCGAAGGTTATTGATGTTTGACAGATGTATAACGTATCGCGCGCGTTCCTAGAATATTTTATAAACATAACACTTTTTTTAATTAAAAAGGTGATAACTTCAGGTAGCCATCAAACGTTTTATACTGACAAAAATAATAGTTATAGTGGACGATTGAATAGGTACTCTGTTGGAACACGGACTTAACATGACGTGAATAATCATGAAAGTGTACATGATGTTCGCATTCTGCGCCCTGATGATAGCTTGTTTGCCCGTGAGTACACACCTACTACATAATATTATGAATAGGGTTCGGATGTTAATGTCTTTTGCAATTTTTTTGGAACATCACAGACGAGACTTACCTAGCTTAAAACATGTTTCAGTGACATACGAATTTATATAGCTGATTTTTATTTGGCACTTTTTTTAAAAATTGCTTGTGTTTTTTTTAATTTTAAGGTGATAATTTTTGTGACTTTTAACATAATTTTTAGAGTTTTTATAGAATTTTTACTCTATTTTAACAGTTGACAGAAAAATGATGAGTTAATTATTTGTCATTATTATATGTCTATATTTTCCACAAATCGAAAAAACCATAATTTTACTTTTATAAACTGTAATTTTTAATTTTAAAATCAATTAATAATTGTATTAACTTGAACAGTCTTATGAGTGATTTTTAGTAGGATTTTATTATTAACATGAATTAATAGGCCATTTTTATGATTTTTGTGTCATAAATGCATCTTTTTAAGGAATTGTTTTATAGGTCTTTTAAGACATAAACATCCGGGCCCTAATTATGAAGAATCATATTTGCGTACCTATTTGTTTCCAACTGATTCTATAAAAAATGGTACCTATCGTGTCTAGTATTGCTTAGAATAGATATAGATTTTTTTAAATTTTAAGATGATAATACCACTAAAAAAACAATTTATTATTTTCTACAAGCCATTTGTTAAGTTAAACATGTTTATACGCTGCTAAGACATAAGCAAGGTGGGTGTATTGATACCTACCCACTATACATGTCTACGTGAATTATATAATATTTTAATGTAGTATATTAAATTACTGTTGTCCTATGTAAGTAGGTATAATATTATATTCAAACGCGGTGAAGTGATGAACACAACAATTTTTAGTATTGACATACTAAAAAAGTACTGATGAGAAACAAAAATGTGACATTTAGTGTAGTCATTTTCATTGTACATACGCGCACTCATTACATAATCAAAATTCAAAATTGAGCGTCTGCCGGCTTAGTGCTAGCCGCCACTCGCTAGTCATATACTTTAAATTATTATTTAGTAGGTACTGCAGCTGCTATTGACTATCTGGTTTCAATTTAAATTAGTAAAATTCATTTAAAATGGCACCTGCACAGTGCGATCATAGCGATTTTCGAATAGTTTCCAACAATCATTCAATGATAAGAATATAATGTGAGTAATAACTTCAAGCCTTTTCGTTGTTTCAAAGTCCACTTCCTGTGCCATGGTAGCATACACGCGCAGGCTGGCTGTAACAGTGTAAGCCCATACAGTATAATACATTCGTGTTATAATATATAATGTGTTTTAGTGGCAAGTGTACAGTCAATTCTTAATAATTAATCGAAAATAAGATTATACTACACCATACCTACCAATTGTTAATTTTAAAATTTAAACATTAGGTGTTTGTTTTTACTTTGGTGAAATAAAGTAAAAAGTAATTTAATAGGTTCAAAAAAGTTCGAATTTAAAATGTCCGCAACCTATAGACTTTTGTAAAATGAAATAATATTCATCAATTCTTCATTCATTCCCAATTGACTTTGCAATATACACTTGCCCACTACACGTATTTGTTATTTTACATTTAACGATATAGGTACCTAATTAAAAAAATACTTTATTTTGTTTTTAAACAAGATTATGAAATAACCATGGGTTTATGCCCAGAGTAATATTTTGTTTTGATCCAGCTCTGCAGCATAATATACAATACAATTATATATATTCGATTTGGTCTTTATATAAACATGCATTTTGTAATAATTATTTTAAACATTTATCATTTCAGTAGGTACTATACCTGGTACACGTCATAATATTATGTAATATTTTATTAGTGTATACAAATCTTCAATACATTTAATTAAAGTTACCTACCTATGGAATATAATTGAATATCAGGCGAATGTTGATACCTCTTTATAGATATTTGAAAAATGTATAACTTTAGAAACGGTTGGTAGACATAACGGGTTTATTCAAATTTTTTTCACTTCTCGGACGACGTTGCAGCGCCGGTGCGACTGTTGTCTGGACATGGTGCTCAAGTCGTTTTTACAGATGTTCAACCCCAGCGTGGAAGCTGGTCCTGGACGGTTGGTCAGCCGGCACCCGTACAACGACGGCTTCATGCCCGACTATCCGTTGGAAGTTATCGGTCACGACGGCGAGTGGGTCAAGCCACCTGATGACAACTACGACGGAAGAGTGCAGACGGCCGACTACGTGGACGACGGTGCGGGTAATGGTGCAAGTACAGGAGGTGATACGAGTGGTAGTGGCGGTGCAAGTTCGGGAGGTGGCGCAGGTGGTACGAGTGGCGATAGTGGACGCCGCCGACTGGGATACTCCATCCGGCAACAGAAGATTGACGCGGCTATCGTCGCAGAAGCTCCAAGTTCCGGTCCAGGGATACGGCCCGACGACCATCGGCCCTTTTCGGATTTCATCGTCAGCCTCCTCAGAACGGTTCAGCTGACCCCCCGAGCGATGCTCAAAAAGTCAAAAGGCAAATCACCCGGTGCAGTCTCGGTCACGAAGACGACTGTGCATCATTATTAGCCGCAACATAACGGCGGCATCCCTATGGAGCGTATAGTAGCAAGACTTGGCGGCGGGTGCAGTGGGTGGGCTAACACTAGGGACAAACCATTTTGAACTTAGTTTTTCAAACCTTTCTTCGACTGTCTATAACACATATAGTTCATAATATATAACTTGTTGTATAACATATAGCTATAGTTCATAAATTCGTTCAAAGGTGCTTCGTGTCTTCATCATAATATATGATATAGGTAATACAACGTAGGTATACGAATATTAATAGCAATGGACAATAGTATAAAATATAATATAACATATAGATACTCACAAACATACTTTCTAACTAATTTTTTTAATCGCCCGTGGGTCATGAAATTTCACGAAAAAATGTACACCCCTTTACCAACGTCACTGTCGAACACCAAAGTTGGTTAGGTAATTATATTTAAACTATATTCAAGATTTTTAATTACCTATACGTATATTTAAAATTTATTTTTTCCCTCGACTTCCTTTAGTCTTCTCGTTTAGTTCTCGTTTTATTTTAGTGTATTTAATTGTAATTTTATCAAACACGCATTATTAGCGTTATTATATACTAACCTAGCATTAATATTAGCAAAAAAAATCACATTTTGGAGAAAAAATTATATTAATTTTTAATTCGATCTTCTATTCTATATTAGCACAAACCTAATGGGTAAATAATAATTGTTCCATTCTAATCGGCTTACAACATGAACAAAACTTCAATTTATTTAACTTTTTAACATTATATTCAAGTTCCAACTCCGGGAGTGGTTCGTATATATATTGCGTACAATATATATGGTCTACAAGAACACAATTTGTGTTTATTTAATTTTTTTTCGGCTCCAAGGCCGAGACTAAAGTATGAATATTGTAATATTTGTAATGGACAAGTCGTGCTAATTCGCACGGACTTCTGGTGCGCTTACTATATTATATTGTTTATGTTGAAATGTTCAAGGAAAAAACAATCAACATCCCGATGTTTGTTCGATACGTCATAGTGACACAGTGTCATATACTATATAATAAACCACGATGCACATTTAATTTAAGTCAGTATATTATTATGATATTTGCACGCTGATGTATGTATAGTTGTCACATTGTTATTACGTATTATAGTTGTATTATATTATAATATTATGGTTACTGGTTTTTTTGTACTAACCCGGTTTGTTGCGCGATTGTTTAATACTTCAAATTATTTACAATTGTAATAATATATATTTTCGTTTACACTACTACTACCGTATTCGTATTACCTTACCGTTTAAAATAAAACACAATTGAGTGACGAGTAGTGACCCGAATTGAAGCATTAATTTGTATCTTTGAACTCTTCTGACTTTTCCATCTTTCTAAATGTCAATTTCTTCTAAATCTAACTATACAGAAGACAAACTTTCCATATTTTGTAATGAATAACTCGTAAATGGTAATCCAGCCACAGAGTAGACGATTTTTTTTTAATTTCTGCTCTCTGATACTATACACAGGAAACACTCGGGGACTTTTGGCATTTGGTTTTCGGCTTTTCGCCTGCTATAGATTTAAGTTTTAAAATAATCTTGATAGTGTAGTATATACAAATATAGGTTTCACGGTAGTATAATGGAGGTAAAATATGGAGATGGATAGACGATAAAAACCCTAACACAGGATTAAGTAGTGTTGAGATGGTATAAGTTTGTATTTAGGCTATGTATATACAGCCTATATTTTACCACTTATACCGCTCTTGTTTTAGACTGATATATTATAGATACGGATAAACACATATTATGCAACAAAAATATAATAAAATATACAATGAATTTACCAATAATTACCAAACCAAACATTGAGTAAAAGAGAAGCATCTTTTAATTTTAAAACAGATTGTTACTTTTCAAAGTACCCAAGCTAAATCATTTTTGTTAATTTTATTTTTGAATAAATTCGTAGCATTCATTTTTTTCGTCAGAGAGATTCATTAATCTTGTGAAATTAAAATTAGGAACATAATATAACAAAAGGTCTAGACAACACTTGTTTCGTTTAAAAAATTTAAATACCTCCTATAAGCAATTTTGTGTTTATAGTTATAATATATGCAAAATAGATCATTATAGTATCGATATATGATGTTAATATATTTTTTATTGGACATTGATAAACATATTTATCCAATTGTGATCCATTTGTAAGAGGACGCTTAAAAAAACATACCGATAAATCTTGAACCTAATATTATACAATATTCAACAATTATTAGTAATAACAGTATGCAACAATTATTAAATTAATTATAATTTATTAAAACTTACGAGAGTACACGTATATAAAGGATAAATAATATTGATCACCGTAGCATAGCCATTGATGACATCGCCAATTGAAAAAAATTTTATAAGTAAGACTCGTTGACTCCTAGGCTGTAATACGTTTCTTATAATATCTATTATAATATGAATTATGATGTACCTACAAGACTCCAAGTATAAATTGTGTTAGTAAAATGTCTACGTATAAATGTATAATAATGAAGTTCGAAGTTCCACACAAATGGTGTGGTTGTAACTTATAAGACATTATTATTTATACATTATATTATTATATCGTATTATCAACAGTCTCTGAAAATAAAATTCAATTGATACATTAGTAATTACATGTTATTACAATAATTAGCAAAATAAAAAGAGTGATTTTGAAATGTAGTACAGGCCTACAGTTAAAAATAAAAATGCCCGTAACGGTGTAACGAAACTGATAAGTATATCGAACAAAAAATTAGTGCAATAGCGTAATAATATTACAATAATTATCTACAACAGTTGATATTGTGCAAAGGTATTTGTTGAGAAATGCTGTTTTCTCACAAAACACTACGTAGGAATTTTATAATAATTCATATATTGCAGCAGAATGAGAAAAACTCCACAAGTCGCGGAATTTGTATGACCCTTACTAGTTATATAGATTATTAGGTGAGCGTGTAAATGAAATATTATAATATTATATCGTTCTTACTAATTTCCACGTTATTTTTAAAATTATTTTTTTAAGCAACCATTCCAGGAAACACTAATTAAAATAACCCATAATTTTATGTTGACGTATGTGCCTAATATCAATGTGCATGATTATAATTTACTCAATGTACCTACACGATGTTCATTACAAACATACAGCCTTACAGGACACGTGGCTATCGGCGGTGGATAGGTGCAAAAATATTATCCAAGAAACGTGAGCTTATATTAATGCAATGCGAGATGGTTAAGTGATAATATTATAAATATACATTATGCCGACTACAAATTAAAAAAAAAATTTAAAGGTCATAATCAAAAACCTATCGTTGTATGATTTAAAAATATTGACCAATGGATTAAAAATAATGGTTACATTTTTTACCCTTTGGCCTTATATGTAAAAATATATTAAACAAGTGTTTTTAAATGACGTATACTTATACGAACTAATACGTCAGTGTATATTAATGCTATTCAACTAATTCGGTTAAAATATGTTAATAAATACAATTTTTGTTAAAAAAATTAATTAGCATAATATTATACACACATACATTAAGTATATTTTTGACACGCCTTTAGGATCCCCCAATCCAAATCCTCTGGTAAAAAACGTTGGTGTCCCCACGATTCTCGGAAATCCTCCTAAAACGGCAAAACGTCTCAAACGTTAACGATGCATGACCTACTATAAAATATAAAAGTTTAAAAAAAAAACCAAATTGAGTGTCTTTAATGTGTAGCTCTGCTTAAAAAATATGTCATGAAGTCTATATATATTTTGTTGTATGTATAATATGTAGTTCATCCCTTATGCTTAGGTACTGACGTACATGTGACTATTAATATATTATGTATATCGTATAATATACATATACTAAGCACATGGCAGTGCTATAATATTCACTTAACAATATTAACATACGATTCTTGGCTTACATAACGGAGGGACATACGATAGTTCTCAGAATTAAAGAAGCATCTGAGTGATAGAAAACAACTAACATTTAAACAATAGTAAAATGAATGCAATGATATTGTGGTTGACCACCAACCAGTTGAGTTGGCTAACAGATTTGTATACAACGCAGTATCCATAAGTTTAATATAAATCATGATTGTGACCTTTATAGGTATATATTGTATATTTTGTGTGATAAAAAATGCACATAATCAGTATGGTATTTAAGTTCCAAAATTGTGTATGTGACAATTTAATTCCATCAGTTGTACTATTTTTATATGTAAATTCAGGCGGTACAATTTTTTCCTCTTTGAAAAACTTGTTAACTCCACTGATACTAACTTTTGACATGTAAAATAAATGTAAACTTTACCGATATTACAAGTATTATTAATTATATATTATTCGTATTTTTTGACAAATTGTATTTTTAAATTTAAATTTAAAACTAAATTGTATTATAATGAAACACATTTTATTTCCAAATTTAAAGCAAAAATGAATAACACTGCGAGTTTGATATCATAGTCTAACATTTGTATCACTTAAATGTTTGATTTTTTGTATGATTAACTTGTAGAGTGTATGAAATACAGTCGAATCTTGATAATTCGAATGTCAAGGGATATATAAAAATAAACCCGACCCACCATGTTTTTTATGGTGGTTGTAGTCTTGTAGAATATATCCCAGATGGCCAGATAAAATATAAATTTGTTTTGCAAAATTTTCAAAAATAATTCAAAATTGGACTTACCTCATATTTGTGGTGTACTTTACAAAAAATGGCTAACTCAAAAAATGCTTACATTTTTTTTTAACAATTATAAGTATCATATATTATATACTGTATCAGTGAATATTTTTATATAGTTACCCTTGTAGATATACATACCCATAGTAGTATATATCACTTTAATTTTAGAGGATCATTTGGTAATTTTAATTTCATACTCATGTGCATATTTCGAACATTTTTAATGCAATAGTCCTGAGTCATAACATAATATTATAATACTGCAAAATTATAATAATAGCGCTAAGATTGTACGGTTATGTACATTTTGTCTCTTAAAAGTTGGACCTCCGTTAGTGTTCCAACATCTTCATAATAAAACGATTGTACAAAATATGTAAACTTAGGTACCCAAATAGAATTCATATGATAAAAATATTTATATGTATTTATTTTTTAACACAAATGATATTAAAATATACGATAAATTATAAATTGAACAAACGCGTAGGTATATTTAAATATTTTTATAAAACTCTATCGCGTAGGTATTGCGTATATTGACCCCAATAGACGTCTGTGCGTTATACCTAAGTGGCTAAGTATGTATACAGTATTATAGTGTGTCCACAAAAACAAAGAACACTCTAAGTTCCTTATATTAATCAATAGGTATCCTATACATGTTTTTGATTAAAAATATATTTTTTTTTTGTGGTACATATGACTATATGAGAATATAAAATTGCATCATAAATTCCTATAACTTACAATTGTTTAACTATTGTATTTTTCACATGCACAACAATTTCACTTTTTATGTGTACCCTGTTTTTGTGGACACACGATATATTATGCTCATATTTATAATATATAGGTACAGAATATCATAATTGTATACCATTCTTATTTATATTATTAATTATTTTAGATTGATAAAGTTAACAAACTGATCAAAGATCGTTAGACTACAATACAGCACATAAAATCCCCATTATAACGTACCGTGTATTTAAGTTGATACTTCCTTGATAACAGCTAAAAGTATTACAGGTATAGGACTTGTTATTTAACATCCAAATAACAGATTATTTACGTCACTCGTTGAACTGTTAATTATTTTTAATTAATAACCTTATCAGTCTCGTTTAAGAAGTAACTAAAGAAGATTATAATTGTAATATTGTATTAATATTATAATATGGTGATGTAACTACCAAAAATGCAATTTTACAGGAGAGATCAAAATTGTAATAGTTTTATTAAAAATTTTTAAAGAATGTAAAATTTGATTTGTTAATTGTTAAATACATATTTTAATAATTATTATACAGAATTATAAATGATAAATGATTTTTCTAATTAGTCATTTTATTCCTAAGTGAAGGCAGAAGAGGCACAGTATTTTACCTATATATATTGATAATTGAAATGGTGGGGTACGTTACGGGTAGCACTCGAATTGCCTCTGAGTGTTTTCGGAGGCAATTCGAGTATACCCAAATTGTCTTCTCGAATTGCATCCTATAGCATACCTAGATTATTAATTAATATATCGATAGTTGTACATGTACTGTAGTTATTATACCAATATCCGTAGTGTTTAAAAATGTTATTTTGAAAAACAAATGAAGTTTCAAAATTACAATATTTAAAAGTATTGGCTAATTAATTCAAGCCTAGAAAACTGATATAAGATACAACATATAAATAAACTTATAATTATTTACAAACTTACATTTTTGACTGCGTATAACAGAATTATATTTCATCTAAATTAATTTAAATATGTATTGATATTTTTTTAAATTTTTTAAACACTATATTTACTAAAATGTTCATACAATGTATATATTATTTATTAACGTTTAACACATTAACTGACAATAAATTATTATTCAATTTATTAATATTTCCTATAATGTAAGGTTATAAATCGATTAATTATAGCTATCAGAGGCGATCCCAGTACAATGATGGTACCACTACTTAAAATATGAGACAATTTCAGTGAATAATATTTTTGAGTCGGAAGAAAATTCGAGTAACCTTTTGAAAAAAATGTACGGAAGGCAATTCGTGAGCGCCCTCGGTACGAGCTTTTTAGGGTTACATTAATTGCTTATTATAAAACAATGGCGGGTTACAGTGAGAGTATCGTTAATTAACTGGAACTATTAACAAAATTATTGGTTTAAATGATCCGATACAATAATAATAAAATTACAGAATAAATAAAATAGATGTATTTATTCATATTCATAATAATATATCCCGTGGCATATAATAAGACTTAGTGTGCAAGTTAATAGGAGTGAATAATAGTGAACTTTGATGGATATTTTCGGATCCCGATGAACTGAAAGAAGATATTATAATATTATTGTGATTTGTAGATGTTCCATACTTATATATACTATATAATATTCACATTACCTAAAAATTATAAATTAGGTTTATGACAATATTATTCTAAAATATTATGTAACCTATTCTGAATTAAATGTATATTATATTTTTATTTATGCGTTTTGTGCTACTATATTTATATACGTAGATATTCATAAGAATATTCAAAAATATATTTAAATAAAATCAGGTGCCTATACTAATCAAATTATTGTGTACATATTAAAAAACCACCCAAAATCATACTGATATAGGAGCAACTCGTGTTTCGTTCAGAAGTGTTATGACGTGTGGAATTCGGATACAAAAAGCCGTCGCTTATTGTCAATGTCTACCAATAATGAATAAACGCCAACATAATGAGCATTATAGGTCTGATAAATGACTGAGAGACGTCATGTACTCATGTCTACCAGGCCCATCGATGACGATCTTTCGCGTTTTCTTCGGGATCGATTCGCTGAACAGCTGTTGGTGGTTCCTCTTGGTGGCAGTGACACTACCAAGACCACGGTAACAGTTGTTACCGCGGTGCGGACTGGATCTTGGTGCTGACCAGAAATACGGAAACATCGGGATTTTAAAGTCTTGGAACTGGCGTAGACCGTGGTTATGATAATTGTGTCTTGGCCTCGCCACGACGGCGGTCGTTGCGATTGAAGCCAAGGCGGGGGCATCTGCTAAGGACGAGAGGCGCTGATGTCATTAATTTACCCCAGCCGATATTTCGATACTTTTGATGTTCTCGTTGCTGAGCGCCTGTGATTTGAAAAACATAATATAATTGTGCTACAAATTACAATAGGTATTCGTAAATACTGTACTAGATAATTTTTTTTACTTAGTCTTGCTGCAAACTTTTAAAATGTTTTTTTTCAATAAAATGTCAATAAAAAAATTTTAAAATAACATAAATGTTCGAATTATCTTGCTGTTAAAATCTATGTAGTATTCATACGTCATAAACCTAAGATTTGAAACGTAATTCCAAAATATAAAGTTACACGTACATATTTCTTATAAAAATTATAAACAAAATCTGATTGTAATTGCACAAATATTTTTATGACTTTATGAGCATCTGAAGTTTAAATGTTGACGAACTTGGATACCTATTGCTAATCAAATTATTAAACAATTGTTTTAAGTATACTTCACTATAATTTAAAATTTAATTTTAATTCAAAGAGTTTTAATTGTACAACTTGACGCTTTCCACTATTACCTACTTAAAAATTATCTCATTTGCTGTGTTGAATATTATTATTGCTGCATGTAATAATAATTATAATAACATCTCAAACAGTATATGCGTAATTGTTGTTGTTATTACTGTGCATTATATGATAATTGTTATTATTATTATTATTTTCGTTGTTGATGTCGTCACTGTCATGCGCTCATGTGTAGCCGACGCTAAGATTTTTAAAACATAATGCTTAAAAAAATAATATACTTACAAATTATATTATATTATTATTATTTCTATACACGTAGTAGGTGCTCACATATATAGTCACGCGTGATCGTATAATATTATAAAATATGATATCATATTATATACCACAGCTAGCACATATACACGCAGATATTTGCACGCACATGAAAAATGGTGGGCCAAACGAAAAATAACGACAGCGGGGCGGGTAAGGCGAGTAAACCGTGTATGCTTGCCCACCTAAATTTGTTTAGAAGAACCCGGTGCGGAAGAAAAAAATTCGAAACCTCGTCGCGAAAACATTTAAAAAGCGGGCGCCTTCCAACGTGCAGGGCACAGTGTTGTACTCTTCACGATGGTTTACAGAGTGATCGTGTTTTACGTCGCCGTCCAGGTACCTATACTATAGCTATTAAAATACACCCAAAATGGTGGGTCGTCCGCTCGCCGATATGACACTTGGGCGCCGTTTTTGTAGACTTTCCGGGGTCAAAAGTCAGACCCGAGGGTCGCGTTTCACACTCGCCCCCCCCCCCCCGATACAGGTACCTATTTATAAACCGCAGAGCTGCCACCCCAAATTCCGGATGCATCAATATGTCCGCGGGTTGCTGTTTAGACATCGCATTAGTAGTACAATAAGCATTTGTAATATGTCTACATTTCAATTCGTCGGCGATCGCGTGTTTTGGGGTTTCTTTTAAATATGTAACAATGATAATATTTCTTAATGCTTATACTGTTAGCGATTTTTTTTTGTTTGTTTTCGGTTCGGCCTTGTCGCAGTCGGTGGTCATCGCTTCGCCAACCGCAACCATGTCCCACGGCGAAAACATCGTTTCCCCGATCGGGACGTTTTATCACCCGACCCCGTCTTCCAGGGCCAGGGGCTTTCCGGAAGTGGGAAAGCTGCCCAAGACGTCAACCATGTACAAGAAGCTTCCAGTCAGTGGACCCGACAGCAAACCGTGGCTCAAACTAACCAATACAGGTATGTGCTGCACCAACATAATCGTTTTATCTTTCTCTGAAAGAAATCGTTTTTATTCGAAAGTCCGAAAAATGCGATAATACATGACAGTTATTTTTTAAGTGAACCTAAGTCAGCTAAGTCGTATAATATGTATATATACCTAAAGTTGATATGTCGTTCAATGTTGTTTGAAAAAAATCTAAAAAATTTAAGCTATTATAGAGCATTATTATTTTTATAATACTATTTCAGGTACTACATACTACTATACTAGTATACTGTATACTACCTACCTAGGCACCCAAGCAGCATATTATCATTTTTTACTTCTAAGTATTATGAGCACTATAGGTATATTGCAGGCTTCATCAGTAGGTATATTCATAGTACCTATTTAAAATTTCTGAGTTTCTTTAAAGAAGAAATACCCAAGCTTTTTACATGTGCACCTATTCACAGTATATTTACTAGGTAGATAGTAGATACCTCTTAACTTTGCACTAGCAACTCCAGAATACGCCGTTGTAGTCACTACTTTTTAGTCTTTACCCATTTAACGAATGACCTAGGTACCTATTAAGATTCGTACGAGTTCCTAAATAAATGAATAAATTCCTATCATTATAGCACCCTACGGTAAGCGCCTATTCCCTCCTAATAAAATGAGTAGGTACATCATCGTATACATCGACACTAAAATATGAGTTATAATATAACTTCTAGTGGTATTGTGGGAACCTACTATACCAAATAATATAATTTATGTCTAATTGTAATCATTTACTGCACCTACTCGTCTTGTTTATAGAAAATGTAAATCGGACACCGTACGTGGATTTCCGCCGATCCGGCACATTTACGACGTAGGTGCCATGGCGTTTTTGTTTAATATGACATACCTAAGTATTGCGCTTGCTGACAGCACAATAATATGATTAATAGTTTATACATTAATATGTTAAACAAGAGGTACCTACGTGATTTTTAGCTAATTTTAATTCAAACAAAACCACCATTGCCATACTGCAATTATATTTATGACGATTTTCTTAGCACAATCGAAAATCCGAAAAAAATAATACCACCTGAGCTAGGTAGGTATACCGCAGCAGGCGGATGTCCAGCCGTGATCGATCCTAAATTAACTGAATATTTATGACGAGCGTATGGCGAATATTCTACTATTTACAAAGTCGCGTTCAATATCTAAGCATATTGGAGTAGATCCGTAGAGGAGAGTGTACTGCAGGAGACCTATTTATTTAGTTATTAAACTAAGTTTTAGTTTAACCGTTGGCACCTAGTCATACTAGGTCTATACCACATTAATAGTGACCTAATATTTGATTCTTGAACGATATTAAAGAAAAAAAATTGAATATCTTTACCAGCCTATTAAATATCAATAGGTACATAATACAACGGCCCGTTAATTAAATATACAATCATATAAATATTAAATTATTATTTGATCAGTGTATGGTCTCTGAATAATTATATAAGATAGGTAACCTATAATAGGACCCTATAAATAGACTTTAGTGAATCTCGCATCGACTGTTTATAGATTGTAAGCAATTGTTCATAATTTTATGGACTTTTAGATAAATATCGTTTTATTTAAAATGCCTGACGTTTAATCGGCTCAACATCCTAAACGTAATATGCTATTTCAGGTAACAACCATTTGTCACGCAACGGACGCCTACCCGCTTTAATGGATACATATCAACCACCCAGGACGCGATCCAACCACATGCGCTTGGAGGAATCACATAGGTCGGAGGAGGAAAGGGCGGAAAAGGTCAACTCTGACCTAGAGAAGATGATACAGTTCATGACAATTCTAGGCCAAGTTGATCGGTATCTGTCATCGAGAGCCAAGTCCTTTGTCAGCACACTGGGCCGGGCGATGGAAAACAATCCCGACGATCATCACCTTTACAACGACAAGGATATGTCTTTTGATTACTGAGCTGCACTCGGTATTATTTAAATAAACGTTTTAAGTTTTTTTATTATTATTTATTTTATCCACTAACTTGTTCATATTTATTAATATTTATTTCCATAAAAACCATAACATTTGTTAAGTGCTACCTTTGTATTTAAAGCAGGACAGAAGTTTTAAAATATCATACTACTATTATATTAGGTTAGTAAATATATTTATTTATTTGTTTATTTTTTTATTGATCTTAAACATCAGCAACTATGGGCATTATTATTTTGTAGGGGGGTTAAAGTTGGTTGAGAAACACATATATATGTAGGGTGAGAATTTGTCACTAGAAACTCGAATAGGTTACCATCCAGGAACTAGCAACATTGGATGATGCTTACTAACAGTACACATTGGTGACTGCGGCCAACCACCATGCCACACCAGGGCCACAAGCAATAAATATAATACCTGTTTTTAAAATAATAATTTAAAAGCAACTATTAATAATTAACATACACCTACATGTAAGAATAAAAAAAAAACACATTTGGAATCAAAACTAATACAATTATTATTATTACTTGTTTGTTTTGAAATTGTATTTTGTTTACATTTACTGAAATTTATTACACATCAACAACAGAATATATGTACACAATTTGTTATAAATATTTTTTTTTGCACAAATGTACTTACTTGCTATAATACTAAAAGCATTATGGCAGTTCAACTATTCAAAAATAACCAGAAAACAAATATTATATAACATTAAATATTCATTAATTGGTCGCAGTCTCGCTCTGTTCACTCTCTGTTTTACTTTTTTGCCTATTTCTCCAAGCTGTCATATAAGTATGAGGGTGTATAGGTAAAAATCCAGATAAACCTGAAAACAATACAGTATTTTTAATTCAAAAATAATAATTGATAAATTGAAAACAAACATCTTACATTCATCAAGATAAAAAAATTAAAGAATCCTTATGGGGTGTTGAATGTCTATTTTATTCATCAAAAGATTAGTATTTTTAGTAACATTATTATAATTTCTTTTAACCTAACATTTTAATGTGCATATGCAATAGTTAAGAGTAGAGTTTGGATTTTTATGGACTGAAATGTATCAAAATATTTCATATAATATGCAGTCAAAATAGTGAAAATATACAAATATCAAACATTTTAATTAGGTAATATGGTGAAAAAATTCAACATTTTGATCTGATAATTATTATTATTAGTTAATAAATTTAAGAGGTATGTAGATGATTTAAAAAAAAATTAAATAACTTAAAATTAGGGAATCAATTTAATGAACTAATCTTTATTTCAATTACTATTTAGTGCAAAAACATTTGTTTCTGAATTTCCAACTTGATAAAATATTATTTTACTTCCTTTTTAACAAGTCTGTTCCAAAAGTAAATAATGTAATGTATTTATGAATTTTCAAAATGTACACAAATATGCAATAATCATAGGTTACAAATATACAGAAATAAACAAGAAACAAATTTGCTATAATTTCAAATTATTATGATTCGTAAAAATGACTGACCAAAATCCAAGAATGTAAAAATGAAAACTATAAAATTGCATAAAAATCTGAGCTCTAGTTATATGTGTTGACTAAGTAGTAAGTAAGTATAAACGAAAAATGTACAGTAATTATTCAAAGGCTCTTTATAAATCAATTATATTATATTATTCCTGTGTAGTTATCTGAATTATTAATATTGGTTATAGTTTCAAATTTAGTACAATATTACCTATGATAATTGAACAATTTATTTTTCATAAAAAAAAAATTAAAAACTTTAAGATTTATTACTACATAAATAGTGTATAAACATAAGTGTCATCTCATTTCATTTGTATATACTTCAATATTATTGGAATATACTACATATTAATCTCAAAAAGTGTTTATGCATTTTATAACTTCTCTCTTTGTAATTTAATTCCCATACCCATACCTAATAATTCGGCGACTGGATTGGTCAAACGTGCTTTTTTAGCCATCCAGTATTTGATCCTTTCCAAATTGAAGCTGACTAGTTTTTCTCCATTATGGTTTTCCATAGGATCATACGTACCGAGCTGCTCAATTGGATGGGCTCTACAATCACGTCGTTGCTATGGCAAAAATATTATAATAATGTTAACAAAGTTTTCAGAGTTCAAAATTGTTATACTTACAAGCACAACTACAATGTGGTAAAAAGGCCTATTTGCACAGCCATATCTGGCCAAGCGTATGGACTTTTTCGCCTTTTCAAAATCATCGCCACCACCACTGGATGGCATCAGTTTTTTCAACAATCGATACGCTCTCATCGTACTTAACTTTAACACAATAATATTAAATAATTTTTAATTGTTGATTGAGTGCATGTTAGTAATTGTTTACTGAAGGTTTGAAAATAATACCGACAAACATGACTAGAATGATGGTTGATTGCATTACAACAATTACATATTTTTTTTATTCTAATAGTTACTAATTTAGCTTTTTGATCAAATAAATAAAAAATTTGCTTAAAATTAACAATTCATAACAATATGTACATTATAACATTAGACTTAAAAAATGAATGTAAAAGTAGGGGTTCACATTATCAACGATTCAATCTAGTTCAATCACTAATTAAATCATTTTAGATGCATAATATAGGAGTGTAGAAGGAACGTTGAATACATTAAATCTGACTTTAAAGACTTATACTAAAAATATGTTTTTGATGATGAAATAAACTTCTACATTTCTGCCTAAATTTTTTAGATCACAGAAAAATTTAAAACTAAGCACTATTCTATTTTTCCAAATAAAACTGTAGTCTAATCTGGAATATTCAATTAAGTTGTGAATAAAATATAGGTAATATGAACATGTAGTCCATCGTAATTTTACTTACATTTGAATATGTTTGTTACGTGGTATTTATAAATGCTCAGTACTCAGAAGATAGTAAAAAAACTAAAATCTATTTAAAAAGCCGTGAGTAGTTTACACAATTCAGCACTTCGTTTGTCGGTTCTATGAGTTAAAAGTTTTCGCTCAATCCTAAAGATACGAGTTCACGACCGATAACCTAAAACGCCGAAAAAAAATGATAAAAATCTTATTTTGTTTTGTACCTTCCACGATTTATGATAGTACTATCTTGAATGGAGTTACTTTCCAAGTTTTGTTTATAGTATCTTATCGTACCACTTACTTAAATTATTATTCTGACTTGCTTGTAAATATTGAATTTAGTGCAATGCTTCAATGTAATAATATAATATAATATTTTAAGTAATAGTATTATGGTTTTTAGATTTAAATATTTTTATATAGTTCAAAATATGTTCAATGCTTGTAAGCACTAAATTGTACTGAGTTGTGAATAACTGTAATCTAAAATCAACACAATCATAGGGATGGAGTAAGAATCTGTTAATTCATAGTGAAGCTACATAAGCAGTAAGCACCGAACAACAGGTAAGTGTTATGTGATAATTAATGTTTGAGATTGAATCTTGATGAAATATGTTAATGCTGAAGCTGAATATTAAACCAGAATTCTAGTATGCCGACGTCTTAAGTTTATAACCGATTGTCTCTTTAACGAATACAATTAAAACGTCACTTGATATGGAAGCTATTAAAGTAAGTGTTATGATAATATAAATTGTTGTCTATACTTTTTATTACAAAAAATGAACATTTGAATAACTCAAAAATTCTTTTTATAGGAAGCGCCCATCCCAGCAATGGACAGCTTGACCGCTGCTATGAAGAACAACATTGTCCCAAATCAAGAATATTTGTTACAAGGCAGCGTTCTGGACTCAGCTGTTGAGGTTCTGTTGCACAGGTTGCGAGGCCTTTGTGATAATGTTGATTCCGGACCGGAGACATTCCACGACCACGAAATGTGTTTTAGCATAAGTAATGTTATTTTTCGTCTCTTCAATCTCATACTTCATGGCTATCCCAAATTATTCTCGATGTCATATTTCTTTTAGGAAGTGTAACACCCCAACCGCTCACGCTGAGAGTCAGGAGAGCGATAGACTATTTAGACATGCCATACCAGCTTCGTTACATAGGACAGCCCGAACTAGGTAAAATTCATGTGCATTATATATACCTATAGATAAAACCTTGTTAACAAAATGTTAAGTTTAAAGTCTTTTATATCAAAACTTTCTACCTATAGACATTTAATATCGGCCAGTTTTCAGGAGATAAATCTAGACCGACGATCCTACGAAACAGTATTGATGTAGCTACTACACCAACAATAGTAGACTTCCTCACAGAAATGGGATTTCGCATGGATTTTGAATACATTTTACGCGGCTATATGTTTCGTAAAGGCAGAATGAAGATTACAGTGTCTAAAATATTTAAAGTTGGTGATATTAATTTTATATTTAAACCATATTAATTATTACTTAATATTCAATATTTTTTTACAGATGATGGTAGTAGGTAAACCTGCTCCGGAGAGTGTCGATCCAATATCCCAGTCATACCTAGTAGAGTTGAGCGTATTGGCACCCAGTAATCAAGATGCTATTGCCGAAGATATGCGTGTGTTTGCTGAACAACTGAAGCCACTGGTGCACTTGGAAAAAGTTGATTACAAACGATTGACACAACCACCGTTGTAAAAAACTAAATATTATTTAAAAATAAACAAATATGATATTTAGCTATTAATTTTACTTTCTTTAATAAATATTTTTTCAACATAATTTGTTCAGTTTATCAAATAGTATTCAGTAGATTCTTATTGTGTACCAACATCGACATCTCAATTCTTTTGTAACCTCAAACTCCACTGAAGTCCCCTTGAAAATTATTTCCATTACTATACAATTAAATAGGAATCTTAAATTGTTTATGTTCCCCTTGAATTTCGACATAACGAGAGTTAACTGTATTCAATTTTTCAACTATTTACATCATTCATAATTCACATAACTGTACCTATATCATTTATTCTAGACGCATGGAAAGGTTATTTGAGTAATTGAAATAATTTTGATATGCTTCTATAAGCAAGGTCCGTTATCTAATGGGGTCCTGTAGTTACAAACTCTCCTCAGTACAGCAACATCAATTTATTTTAACAGATAATTAAGGGACCATCTAAAGCGTCCATTATAGACAGGCACAATGGAATACATAGTAAAGGGAATAATAGAACTGCTCATATTCTGTAAATTGGCAAATACATATGGAACCAACAATAAGCTCAAGGTGACTTCACAAGTATAATTTTATTTTTATACAACGCAGTATGCACGAAAACACTGTTCGTGTTGAGAATACTTCTTATTTAATTATTTTTTTTTTTTGGATTAAGGTTTCATTTACTAAGGTCGTTAGCATGGTACTATGTGGGGAGGAGGGGCATTGCAAATATTTACATGGGTTTTAAAATTCAGTTTTATATAAATAAATGTTTTACGAGAATATGTAACCCATGTATATGAATAATAGGGAACTAACTCAACTCGATAAAATACAAACTAATAGTTTACAAAACAAATATTTTATTCTGATTTTTTCTAAATAATAATAATAATAATAGAAAATAAATGTATGATATGTTTATAAAACATCAGACCTTAAAAATTAAGTGTTTTATGTATAAAAAGAAAAGTGTTTGCTTCAATGGCTGTTAACAAATCACATAATAATAATAAAAAACATTAGTACAATTATCTATTTATAAAATATAACTTAACATGACTTTTAAAAAAAAATTTAATATTATGTGCACAAATGTTCACATAAAATTACAATGTCTAACATACTAATTTACTGAGTTTGTACATTTTCTTTCCCTTTGAATGACATAGTAAACCGTTTTGAAACTGGCAAGCCCTAGACATAAATGTTAAATAATATATTATGAAAATGCACAATACAAGCAAATATTGAACATAGGTATGAAATTAAAAAAATTCAATACTTGGCATTAGGTATCAACACTTACACTTATTTTAGTTGTATTCATTACATTAGGTTTTGGTATCATCCCAATTTTACTTTCGGACTAAAATCAATTATTAAAATATTAAGGTAAATAATGAACAACATTATATTATGGTTAAAATGGAATTCTTACCTTTGATTTGTTTAATTTAAACGATCGCAATATTTCAGAATTTCTTTCATTAGCTTTGCCAAACAAAACAACTGTAGTCTACAATTTAAATAATTATTATTATGAATAAATCTAAATAAAACAATAAACAAATCATTCTTACATTAGTTGAATTCTTTTTAATACACTTCGTAACATTTAATGGTGTTCCTGGGCTTCCAGAATTGGGCATTGAACGCCGTGATAAACTACTCCTATAGAAAATACGAAACAATTTAATTGACCACCATTGTTATCAAAATACATAGTGTGATTAATATGTAACACTAGTTTAATGTATTTATATATTCAGTAAAATTTTCACATCTAAATGTATCGAGATCCATCTTCAATAAAATAAAATATAATACGTTGGAAATTTGAATACAATTTTTAATACATTAGTTATTACTAGAGAGCGGATTTTTAGGTTTTGAAATATATTTGTTGGATAATCTGGACAACTTATTCAGTACAGAACTCATACAAAAAAAATTATTTTACAGATTACAGCAAAATTTAAAGTTTAAAGAATATACAGCCTATACTTCATACCTAAGAATATAATGTATTATTTGTTCATTTCTCGAGTTGAAATATTTTGCCACACACAAAAAAAATGTTTTCAATTTAAAAATAAAAACAATTGAAATTGTTCCATAGTTGAATTGGACATTTTTTAATTAGTTTGGCTGGTTTAAGTATGGCTGAATTTAAATAATTTACCAAAAAAAAGGTATGCAATAATTATTTTCAAGTTTAGTCATGTTATTACATGGTGTACAATCAATGAATGGCAAATGTAAATATTATAAAGCTTTAAAGTATAATATTAATTTATATTACATATTTTACATAATATATAAATAAAAATAATATATGTAACTGGTACACAGGTTTTTAAATTATTTGAAGTAAAAATAAAGCATATTCTCAGCATATTTTACCAGTTTGACGATTATTAAGAGAATATTTCAAAAGAGAATATTTCAAGGTTTTTTTTAAAGCATACTTAGTCATATTTTAAACTTTTAAGAACCTAATAATTCGCCCTTTAGTGATTAGTTATTAGTTATTACATATTACAATGTGCATACCTTGATTTAATAGAAGACTCTGCAGTTGAAGGAGTTTTAGCTAGAGTAGCAATATCTAATGCTGTTGGTGTAGAAGAGGCTATAGGCTTCATCTATAGTACAAAACGAAAAATTGTTTCCAATATAATATTTATTTTTTTGATTTGTTATGCTTAATATATGATGATACAATATTGTCCTATTCTAAACCAGTAAGTTGGTAGAACAAACTATATACAATATACATGCATACAGAATATTGATGATACATTTTAACCAAGAAAATATAAAATGTGTTAACAATATTTATGCATATTCAAAAATGTATTTTTCATAAACACATATGGACATACTTTACGTGGACTAACAGAACCGTGACTGACATCTTTCTTTTCTACATCCTTAAAATTTTGCACCATGTGTTTAACCGGGACATTGGCTATAAATGGACCTTTGCTTTGGAGCCTTTTATTTTGCATGGACTTCAAAACAGTTTGACTTCCATTTGGTTTTGATTCGACAATTCCTAAAACATATAGAATAAGAATAAAAACAGAGTACAACCAAATTGTTATTAAATAAAAACTTGATTGATGTAGTAAACTAAAACATATTGTCCAAAGGTAATATATAATTATTTTGATTAAAACCATTCAGTACCTAAGCGATTGAGAGTTTTCAACTTGACATCAACTTGATGATTATCGTCAGTCGGTTTAATTTCTGTCACAGAATTTACCTTCAACAGATTACAGATACATGATTAAAAAATATTAGACAAATTACTTCTACTTGTGTTCACTCACCAATGAAATATCACTAGATCCATCACTATCACTGAAATTATCCACTACCCATTCAGGTTTTAAAGAATTAAGATCAAAAGAGTTTAGTTCATTGAATGGAAATTCCACATTATCATTTGACGTAATGTTTTCATTTATGTCAATAGTATTATCCTAAAACGTAGTATTCAAATTATTTTTAGTTTATTATTGATTTTTAAAAGACTAGTACAAACAAACATTTTAAGTTTTTGTTACTTACAGGTGTTTTATTAATACTATTGGAATTTAAATTAAAACTCCCTATGAATCCTCTATTTAACACGCTTGAATTTAGATATTTATTTAAATTTGACTCTGTGTTACTACGTTTTGGTGTACAAAATAATGACTTCCTTGAATAACATTCTTCGTAATTTTTTTTCTCTTTTTCAATGAGAATTCCAATTCGTTGTCGTGTCTGCTCTCTAATTTGTTTCTTTTCCTGTTCGTTACAATAAGAATTTTTTTCTATATCCACCTCATTCTGATCTGGTACAAAAACCAATTTTATTGATGGCTCTTGATTTTCTGTTTGGTTTTCACCTATATGAACTAAGACATTATTATCGATTGACTGATCGCTAATTGTTGTGCTAACACATTCTGTTGTAGCACAATCATCTTTTGATTGGTTCTTCACAAAATCATCTTTGTCTTGATCCATGTAATTTTTTTCCAAAAGTTTTGCAACTCCATGAATATCTGTTAATGATACACTTTTTTGAATTCGCCTACTGACTTTTGATTCCCAAAGAGGACTTAATATGTTACCGCACGGCGGATCTCCTCTTAATGGAGTTTGTTCAGGGACTAAATCAAAAGGATCCATATTGGCTGCTTGCAACTCAAGTATATCAAATGGATTGTTAATATAATTTCCAATGTAACTTTTATTTTTCACAACTTCAGGAGTACTCCAGTCAATAAGTGCTTCCATTGAGCAGTTAACTGACTCATTAGCTGCCATAATTCTAGGGATGAAAAAAAAGTTACTTTTAAAACATACTCAAAAAGAGTGATTTAGTTGTATACTAGTTAATTATATCGTGATAGAAAACAGATAATAAAAACATGAAAAAATTAAAATCAAAATTGTCATTTGGTATCATGCCATATTTAGACAATAGTTCTAATTACAAATTCAGATCAATAAAACTATAAAAGTTGTAATTTTTTTATAATAATACAATTTATATTTATCTAAAGTTTTATTTAATTAATTATAAAATGATTTTATTTTGTATAGGTGTCTTTTTTTTTAGTGATACTTAAAAGTAGAGAAACTTCTGATAAGTTTATGAAGAGGTTTTTAAAAAGTTTAGTTTCTGTTTTGTATATTTTCTATTTTAGATATATCATGTATATATAGATCCTGAACCAGGTATAATATGTGTAAAAATGAAAAATAAAAAGTTTATAGTTCAGTATGGTTTACAAAATAATAACCTTTTAATTTAAAGAATACAAATTACATATTATAAATAGCTGCACTTAAGGAACTTGAGATTTTGGTAAGTCCACTAATTCATTTCATGGTATACTTAACCAGATATGTCAGCAGCTTATCAGTTGTACTGGTTTGCTGGTGGTCATTCGATTATTGATCTAAATTTGAAATTAGAACTTATGTCTAATAAAACAAGACTTAATAGCAAAATATACAAATTTGGTTATTTTTGTGGGTTTTTTATATTTTGGTTTTATACATGATTCCCACATAACGTATTGCATAATATTTTATTGAAATAAATATATATATACATATATATTTGTTACAATGCAGGAAATTGGTTGGATACTATGACATGCATAAATGCAAAGCTAAGCAATCACATTTAAAAAAGATTTCATAACATTTAACAAATCTTAGTTTACCCAAACAAAGAAGAAACCTATCAACAAGACTTGTTACACTTCATCAAACCAAAAAGACACATTATTTAGTACAGACACAACTCGTGTAGAGTATATTATGTATATTATCAATATTTAGAGACATAGTTTTTATTCACAAGTCATATTAACATCATAATAATGTACACCAGAAACAGAAGTTAATTAACGAGTGGACTACAGTTAGGGATAATATATTTATAGAAACGTATACATACTTGAAATGACTATTATGCCAGAAACGAAGAAGAAACAAACAGGTAGGTACAGACGAGTCGTAATAATTGAGCGACTCGCACCACTATTGGCACTGTGGTGTTTATTTGAAAATTAATATAAAATGCCAAATATTATATAATAATGAGCGGTCACATAGTAATGGCGACCTTTAGTAAACACATATTACGATGTGTATAATATGATAATTTATTAAAAAGATGTATTTTTAATTTATTTGTTTTTGTCGGTACGACTCGAACCCGGTAGTTCTCACTGCTCAATATTTAAAATTAACATAAATAACGTTTTCCCGACGTTCGGTTTAACGATAACGATTAACTGCTACGACCAGCAGCAGCTGACTTCTGTTCACATTGGTCGTAGATTAAACCATGGACTAAACACGTGTGTAAATAAAATTTGAAACGGCAACCGGTAACTATACTATCATACAATAATAATTATTAAGCCTACACTGTTGTAGTTATTGGCTGAACTGTGAACTGTAAATGGTATACTCTGTGGGGTAAAAGGTAAACACCAATGCATGGTGCATCGGTGCACCACAAAATCACCACGGCACCACTGTCCACCACAGACACCAACGGTCAACAGCTGCTGCTGCTGCAGTTTGTAAATTCAACTTGTTACGAATTTTTGTTTATAATTGTTGTTGCTTGTTGTTGCATTATTATTATTTACATGTAAGTTCCACGGTTATACCGCCAAACCGGTATTCAGCGTCAATAACCGATAGGTATTCGCCATTGGAATTTCCGTTATTGATGTTTAACAATTACTGACCGAAGCAGTATAGCGAAATCGAAATATACTGTACACGAAGTATATTTTGTCAACACTCGAACACTCAACTGTGATTAACTGACAATTCAATTGAATTATTATTGAAGAAACATGGATACTCAAAAAACATTGGATTGTTTCATTAAGAGTAGAAAAAGACCCACCACCGAAGATGGTTTTCAGAAAAAGGAACTTGTAAATAATTCATTTGGAATACATAAACCAACTAGACAATTATCATTTGATTGTACTGTGCAGCAAACAATTAAAAAACAAAAGGTTTGTCAACTGCTCAATCTTACTCTGTACTAACTTAGCCATATTAGAACGATACTGATGTTATCATTATATTTTAATAGCATCTATTCACATATTTGTCTATACTTAGAGATGCCTATATCTATTATTCAATATTCATAATATAATATTATGATGTTATTTAGGTTCTTAGTTATATTTTTTTAGGTATGAAACTAAAGGTTTTACTTTTTTCTGCAAACAAATGTATTATTGTGTGATGAGAAGTGAAAACAATGATGAAATTAGAATTTTGTGAAAACTAAGCTCTTATATTATAGCCATTTGAAGTTTTTACGGTTTAATGGACATTCCCAATGTGGTATTACATAATAATTCGAAGGATGTTTTCGATATATTCTAGCGAGCAAGTGGATCTGGCTAGGTATTTAATATGTGCTGTTAAAAATGTTGTTTTTATCCTAGACGGCTTAACATCCTGTGGTTATAACATTCATGGAATAACTTACGTTACTTGTAGTTTAAGCCATAAGCACAAATCTCAGGGGAGCTTAGCCCCTCCAAAAATATTTGATTTTTAGTTGTGTGGAATCGGAGCCCCCCCCTCTGACTCACATTGATGTTAAAAATGTTAACCTCCCCGAAATTTTAATGGATTTGCGCCCATAGTTAAGCCTAAGCCTATATTATGTAATATGATATTAAATTAGTTTAATTATCGTTTTAAATTACATTATATTTTTATTAGATACTTTTTAGGTTTATCTAATTAATATGGTTTTATTCCTTAAATAAATAAGACATGGAATCAGTTGGTCATTGAAAATTGTTTTAAAATTAAAACAGCAGCATACAATGCAAAAAATATTTTATAGGTACCGTACTTTAATAACTTTACTAATACATGTAAAAAAGTTAACATTTTCAATAATTTAACAAAAAAAAACATAAAACGCTTCTCATTACACTTGGCTTTTGGGATTCAATTCTGAAGAGCCTTCAAGCCTTCAATTATAAAAATTGTACTATCTTTTGAATAAATTACAGACAGAATAATAACTAATCCACCATGGTAATTGATAATATATTATGCCTTTCTACTTGTATTTAATGTAAAATGAAACAACACTGTACACATTACCAAAATGAAAAAATCATTTTATACTTAAATTCTAACGCATAATTAACTTTTTTCAAAATAATTTTTACATTATAATATACCTCCAAAAAATTGTATTTCCCTTGAATTTTGACTCGTCAAACTTCCACTGTAATTATATTTTATTACTGAAAAGAATAACAAGTCTCAGTATTGTCTCAGACATACTATTATTTATTATTCAGTAGAATGCGTATTATGTACCTATCATTTTGTATTTATTACCTATTTCATTTATTTCTTTTAGGTTGATTTCGGTATAACAAAAACAATTGTTCAAAATAATGTAATTGCTGCTGTCAATAATGAAGTTTCTGAAAACATTTTGGAGAAAATAGAGGCTGGAAATAAACATGAAATTCGTTCAGAGAGAGCTACAACTCCGGATCAAACCCCATCAACTAAAGCCAAATTACGTCAAGTATGTTTATCAATACAGTATTATTTTTGTATAGTTGTATTTTCACAATATGATTAATATTTTGGTAAACAATTAGATTCACATCATATTTTATTTATTTTAATACTAATATAATTCCCATAATTGATAATAAGTATATTTGTGTATGACATATTGACATGATACACATTTAAGATACTAAGATAATCTTGTTAACCTTAACTGTTGATCATGTCAGAAATCTAACAATACGATAATAATATAACATTTTTTTATCTGAACAATTGTTATAAGTTCTTATTTATTTAATTAATTCTAGGAATTAAATTTGGGTGAATTTCGCAAAATTATTCGTCGTAAGCACAACCGAGAAAAAATACGAGAATTGATCAGTGAAGTAGATAAATCTCAAATTGCTCTTAAATCTGCTGAATCTAAGGTAGAAGCTGCCAAAAGTCATTACTTATCCTCATTTAAATCTGTTGATCTCTTGGTTGATACTAGCCCAAAAAAAGTTGTATCAAGTCCTATAAAAAGATCTCAACTTAAACCTTCATCCTTATTTCTAAGCCCAGCCCAATCTATCGTTAGCCCAAGTAAAGTCATGACTACTCAGATGATACAGCCAACTGATTATGTTTCGCCTAGAAAATTATTAGATGAAGTTGGATCTATTATGGCTTTTTCGCCATCAAAACGATATGCTGCATTGGCTGATTCTAAGACATTGCCTTTGCCTTTGAAGTACCGTATTTTGGATGAATTATTCAAAGCTGTGGAAACTGTTTCATCTATAATGTTTACTAGAAAAGAAAAAATAACATTTAATAAGCTCAAACGTGGTGTGCAGCACATGACTAGAAAGTAATCATTCAATTAACTTTTTGTTTACTACTTTTTACAACTTATAATTTATTGTTAAAATTTATTTTATTTTTTAGAAATTTTACTGAAATGCACTTGGCACAAATTAAAACTGTTGTACCAGATTTATTCAAGTTTTTATTAGTAAAATCACCTAAAGAGAAATCCCGTTATGAATTAGTAATAGTTCCAAATTATGGTAAATATTGTATTATAGTAATTAGTTTTATGTTAAAATTATTTAATTTTGATATTAATTAGGCTCAAAGGATGAAGTCGACATTGACTTAATTGAACTAACAATTCGGAGAAAGAAGATATTTTCTAATGCACTAATTGACATTGTGAAGGGGCATCATGAAGTATGAATTTACTGTAATAGTAGCTAATTTAATTTAAAATAACTTTTATTTTTATTTCCAGAAATATTTGAGTACATTAATTCCACCCATTGTGATTGACAAAAATAAAATAACTAGATGGCATCCTGAGTTTGATGTTGAAACCGTAATAGATATAATTCCTTCTACGTTACCCAAAATTGAAATTAACAAACCAAAAATAGAAACTGCAAAAGATTTATTGGGTAATATTGGATATATGCTTAAAAAAAATATTTGCATTATGGTATAAATTATATTCCTAATGCCTTAATTATGATTTTAATTTGTTTTTAGATAAGTCCCATGCATTATTTGCTTACAATAATCGTTTGAATCGGACTCTTAAAACAATTAACAATGAAAATAAAATTATAACTGAAAAAAAATTTCCCTCAACGGACTCAAAAAATGCATTAAAAGAAGCACTTAAGGGAATTCCTAAATCATTTTTACTAAAGGTAATTTTTTGATATTATTTGACTCTTTTTATTTTATACTCATATGTATGTAAAGATTCAAGAAAAGCAAGCAGAAAAAGCTAAAGAATTGATGATACGGTCAGTGGGTCAATTAGATGAAGATAGAATGATGAATAGATTACCAGCTATTGCGAGAAGTATGCGTACCTATTTTGTACAGCTTCAAAGAAATATTATGCCAGTCAAAAAAGTCATCGATCAATTAAAGCAGAGTTATCCTGAAACTATGACAGACCGTAATTGATAAATATTCCTTAATTTTATAATATCTTGTAAAAGTAACAATTATATTATTATTTTAGAGGAATGGAAAGCTCACTTCAATCTTCTCCAGAAAAAAGTACCTCACTGGATTGTATCAAAAGCTTTTGAAGGAATTGAATATGTTCGAATTAATAAAAAAGTTGAATTTGAAGAAACTGTAATTAAAACATTACAAAAATCAGACTAAAATTTATCCACAAATTGCATAATTTTTATATATTTTTAGTTCCCAACCATTTATTTAAATATTTTTTTTTTGTATCATTGCCTGTTAGCAAACACTTTAAAAGAGTAATTTGTAATAGAAAAGTATAAACTTATGAAATTATCTTAAATCTATTGATATGATAAAGATATTGTTTTTTTAATAATGTCATTGATTAAATATAGTATATTTAAACAATGATAATAGTTTTTTTTTATTTTGCTCCACATTGTTAGATTTATATATTAATATATTTATGTATAATATATTATTATTTCTACATGACATAAAACTACAATATATATAACCACCCAAATAATAACTTTATTTAAATATCTTTATGTTATTTATTTAATGATCTATCTATTTTGTGCCTAATAATACTTGATGATTAAATATTAAATTCAATACAATCTAAGCAAACAATGGGGATATTATTTAGAAAAATAATACATTTGAAACTTCATCTATTTCTAAAATATTGTATTATATAACTCACACCTCAGTGATTTCCAACCAGGTATAACTTAAAAAGATATGTTTAGAAATTCAGTCTCGTGATAGAAGTCATCCTCTTCACATTTGTTGAGTGTGATCCCAAAAATGAACTTGATAATTAATTAATCAAAATTATTACATTTACCACGCCAGCATAGTTATGTGAAAATGTCCGATCAACTTCCAAATCTTTTTTCTTTGCTTACAAATAAAGAAAAAATAATTTTTTTCTTTTTTCACCCAAGTTAAGTAAGTGAATTCAGTGAAAAATTGTGATTTTACATCTTCTATTTCCAATAATTGAATAATATTTATCCTTATTAAATTTGAGAGTCGTAACCGCATATTATGTTGTCTAATTTGTAATTATCTACAAACGCTATAGCCCGTCTCCAAGTAAAATATTCTTGCCCGCTTTAAATTATTATTAGTTGATATTTAGATGAATATCAATAATAAACAAAGCTATTTAGAAAAACACAATTGATCTAGGATGGTTTGTCATGAAGTCCACCAACAAAAGAATAGGTACTCTAAAGCTCTTTTACTTCTGAACTGCCTCAAAAACCGAACAAAAAATTGTTTTTTTCACAAAATCCCTAGGAAAATTCTGAAACTTCATCTTGTCAAATCAAGACGAAATTCCGTCCACAAATTCACCTAATATCTTCACCGAACAAATTGACATTAACGAAGTTGTATCCATCAAACCATCTCCTCCAGTTTTGGTAAAAGATGCCGTGGATTTTCCAGAACTTTGCAAAACATTTATTTAACTTATTGGTGTAGATAACTTTATCTGTAATTTTTGTACTGACAAATCAAGTAACCAAACCTCAAACCCTCAGAGTCATACAGAACTCTAATTCGTTTTCTCAAAGATGAGAAAGGTAAGTATCATACATATCAACTCAGAGAGAATAAACCTATGAGAATAGTTATACTTTTTAAGTAATTTATATCCTTCTATATTAATTGAAACTATCAAAGAAGAGTTTGAACTTCGCCTCTCCGTGGCCAGCCACGTAATTAACCTCTTTCATAAAGTAAATAAAAATCCTCTCCCGCTATTTTTTGTTGATTTGGAACCTACATCCAATTCTACAGAACATTTTCAACCGTTTTCACTTTTCTATACTAAAATCAAAATTGAAGAATCTTATAAACCAAAAATTAATGTCAACAATACGGCCATACAAAAGCATACTGTGGCTGCTATAAACCTCGCTGTGTTCGTTGCGATTCGAATCACCACACATCTGAGTTCCTAAACCCAAGCTTCTTACAAAATGTGCTTTTTGCTCCCAAAATCACCCAGCCGACTACAAAGGATATACATCTACAAAGACCTTTCAAAAACCATCTTCATCAAGTAATTTTATGTATGAAAACTCTAAAAGTAAATTCACAAATTTACAAGGTAGCAGCCACCACTCAATTTCTAATTAACCCATTCCTCAAACACAAATTTACGCTCATCTAACATCTAATGCTCCGAACGATAATACAATACCGGTCGCTTCTGATCCTCAGTCTCCTGATATTAATAAGTTAACGACAAGATCCCTAGACGACCTTCAGTATCCCATAAGTCCATTAATACTCTCTTACTATAGTAGTTTCCTGCGTAATTGATAATAATGCCAAATAACTACAATATAATAATAACTCTGTCACAGACAATCCTCTACTTATATTTCTTTTCAATGCAAACGGCGACGGCCTAAGGAATTATGCTCATGAACTCGAAACTGTATTAACCAACAAAAGAATAGATATTGGAATATTGGCCTCATCTCTGAGACCCACTTCATTAATTGTTCTAAAATATATATCCCAGGATACAAATTAATCAACACAAGTCATCGCGATAATACGGTGTAGCTATAGAAGTCATCTATTGCATATAAACCAGTGCCTGGTTTTTCTCAAGGCTCCTACCAATCTTGCTCAACTAAAATTAAAATTAAAGTATGTACTTCCTTTGCTATTGGGGTAATTTAATCACCCACAAACAAAGTATAAAAACCTCGAAGTTGACAGAATTTTTCATTCAATTAAAAATAATTTCATAATTGGTGATTTAAAAGGGTTTTTTTGCATTAGGCGCCACGTCCGGAAGTAAGCCCGGAGGTCTAGTTCAGACGCCCATTTGCCCAAATTTCTAGTTGGACACCCATAGGTTTCTGCTATGCCCGGTTCGGAGATGGTGGCCTCGCCGCCTAGACAGTTGCCTGCCCAAAGAGCGATGCCGTCCGTGGCCGGGATTCGAACAGGCGACGGTGCACGTTAGGACCGACGCATTTGGCCACTGGGTCACTCCGCCCCATCCAAACGCTAAACACCAATCATGGGACTGCCGTGCGGGCAATCCACATGGTCCTACGCTTCACAATTTTATAAAAGAAGGAAAATATTCAGTACTTGCCCCTCCTCATCCAACAGGCTTCTCTCCAAAAAAAACCCCAACAAATTACCCGATTCAATTCACTTTACAGAAATACAACAAATATCTTTCATTTAAATTCAGATTACTTCTCAGTACTACTAGTACTTTAAAATTTAAATACCACTCCCCCAATTTAACTAGTATCCCTTAACTTATTCAACCGATTCACAGATCGTCTTAAATTTCATATTGTAGATATTAAAGTAAAATATATATTAAGTTAAATATCAAGCTCAAAACACCAAAAGTTATAAGTTTAGCTGTTAATGATCTTACTAATATTATACCACACAGACTGTAGCATGGACCGCCACAAATATAAACTCCTTCAGCTTTCATATTTACAGCCCACTTCTAGAAATTATAAGAACAATGGTAACAAAAGCATTGAGCTAGAGCCTACTATCGACGCACTCGTTTACCTTCGCATACAAAATTTACAATCAACTGGCAAACTTTTTGAAAAAAAAACACTCTCCAAACACTAAGATTGAATGCTGGTTAACAATTTTACTAATCTTTCCTCAAAAAACGGCAGTTTGCGGAAAGCCTCAAATAAGTACTCCAATATAAAGCTTCTAATCTCCCTTTAAAAAAACCCAACGCAGTGTTACTTCGCCAGCATCTGAAAAAGCTGAATTTTTTAAAATACACATTTCTGAGATATCCGATCACATCCAGATATATTTGATCTAGATACTATAAACCTGGTCAACAGGTCTCTCAACGTCCCTCTTCAATCTACTTTCCCAATTAAACCCTTCGCTCCTAACTATATAAAATATCTCATCTGAAAATACCCTCAAAACAAATATCCAAGCTTTGATTTTGTCACTGCTGAAGTAGTCAAATGTCTCGCTAAAATAGTCATTGTTCGTTTTACACATATTTACAACTCAATAATTAGAGTTTCTTATTATATGGAAGTTTTCAAGAATTATCATGATTCAAAAGCCAAATAAGCCACCTGATACAACCTCATCCTACAGACCTATAAGTCTTCTTCCCTTTCTTGCGAAAATACAAGAAAAACTTACACGTCTTAATGTATTTTACTTATCGTTACTGACAAAAAATTTCTGCCAAACTACCAATTTGGTTTTCATTCTTCAAATTCGACGACCCATAAACTGCCTTGGGTAGTAGATACAATATCCTTTCCCTTGAAAACAATTATTTTGCACAGTCACTTATTTAGACAGTTAACAACCTTTGACAGAGTCTAGCCCGAGGGTTTCCTTCTTAAACTAAAAACATTTCTTGAATGTCAATCCACTTGTAGCCTCTTGTAAAACATCAAACTTGCCTAGATTATATGGAGGGCTGGTATACAAAATGGAGACTTAAAATAAACCATAGCCAGTCCATTCATACCACCTTCACATTGAGACTAGCTGCTCCCTCTGAGGTAACTGTCTATGATGTAAAAAGACCATCACTGAACAACCGTTTTCATATCTTCAAACCTGTAATCTCTAATAAATATACCTTTCCCTCAAATCAAACTCCTCACAGCTCATCTATAAAACATTACCGATTCCAATATTGACATACGGTATCCAACTATGTGAAAGCACAAAAAAGACAAACTTAAAAAAACTCAATCATTCCAAAACATTGCCCTAAGAAAATTAATGAATGCTCCCCCATAAATACTAAACCATACTCTCCACACAGCCCTGAAATTAAAAACAATAGATGTAAAAGCCAAATGCTTTTATAAAAGATTCCATAACCGTTTTTCCGCCCATTCAAACAATTTTCTCCCTCCTTATTTATTTTGTTAGATTTTGTTCTGTGCTTAATTTATAGACTACCAAGTACCAACTTCTTGACACAAAATACAACTCTTAAGGAACAATACTAATTAACTTTGCTTTAATATTGGTACAAATTATAAATATATGTTTATTCCACAAATCTCACATTTAAATATTGATCCGAATACTTGCAACTTGTAAGTGTACTTGGGTACTTTATAGGCATGGATTCCAAATAAACATTTGAGACATGTACATAATTTGTTTACTGATATTTTAGTATGAATTGATCGGAACAGGTGATAAGATATAAAAATCAAGTATTCTTAAGTTGAATTTTATTTTAATCTCATAAGAGTTGTAAATTCATCTACCTCGGCAATTATTGGCCTTGAGTAAACATTACAAATATAATTAAGTCT